AGAGAGAGAGAGAGAGAGAGAGAGAGAGAGAGAGAGAGAGAGAGAGAGAGACCCTAGCTTGGAGGGTGGCTATTGGCCAGTGTTCCCGTTCCTTTTCGGATGTAGGCTGGGTTTTGGCCAGTGTTCCTGTCCCCTTCTATCAGCATACCACAGCAGCCCTGCTGGTTCAAGTGCGCCCCCTGTCTTCATGTCTGTTTTCATTTCGATCAAAGTTAAGCCAGCAGATGTTTGGTCCGATGGGGGTCAGGGATCCAGGTCAGAAACCAGTGGAGATGATGGTTACTAAGGCCCAGCTCACACAGTTATGGGATTTGCAATTCCAAAGCTTTCTTCTGATAGCGGTGAGCACAGCAGTCAGGCACTTGGTCCGCACAGATTCTGCAGTTTATGTGGCACCATTGCCAGTCATGTGCACGGCCTAACTTGGTCATCCAAGCACGCCCCTCCTCCTTCGCCACCTCCGCCTCGACAGCGGCTATGGTAGCTCCCTCTATCCGTTATAATGAGGAGAGATGGGGTATAATATGGGAAAAGACTGTCCTTTGTCGTGGCCCGATCAAAGCAACCAACCTGGTCCCCGAGCTGGTAATGCCAGATCACCCCTGTTGGCAATGCCAATGGCGGCTGACATGGGGAGAACGTGCACAGGGCCCATTAGAATATCCAGAGGTCTAGGTCTTCGAAGGGCAATATGATGACCAGGATCAGATGATGGAAATCAACCCCGATTATCAGGCGCCGGGCTCCAGATCCATGCAATAGCATAGCTCACTGGGGTCGGCTCTGAGGACCCTGCAGCACTCCATCTGCAGCGGGCCCCCCATCACTCACATGCCGTCTGACCACCTGGAGTGTACAGAAACGCCTCTTGCTCTAGTTTTGCACTAACTTAAAGGGGTATAACTATCTTTGTCCCTCGGGCTAGAACAGCCTAGAAGTCCCCAGATGTAGTAAGGCTGGTGTATGCTTCTACAGGAAACAAAACTGAACCTGAGACATGTTCAGGAGTTGACCTCTCTCAGACTGGAGGTGCTGGCATGTGTTACCCCGCACATTCATTTTCCTTTGACGCATCCTCATCTGATCCATCATAGGCTGGACAAGTGTTCAATGCCAGGATCAACAGATGTTCGTCTGCAGGTCTCAACAAGTGCCTTTGATGTCAGCCGCATGATCTCCAGAACTTCTCATCCCAGCCATCAAGACGCCTGACAGCCCTCGTTGTCCGGCTCGACAGATGTTCAGGTGCAGGGCTCAACAAGCGACTTTGATGCCCTCTACAATCATTGCGTTAACAAGTGGTCGGTCATTCAATTTGCTTCGTTGGCAAGTGTTCACCTTCAGGTCAGACTCTCTCTCTCTCTGTCTCTCTCTCTCTCTCTCTCTCTCTCTCTCTCTCTCTCTCTCTCTCTCTCTCTCTCT